GGCTGAAACACCGAGTGTGGGTGAAAAGAAGCGTATTGGGAATTATCCGTGAATCGTTCGAAAATGCTCAAAAGGCTCGACGGGCCGGACGAGCGAGCCCTCGGGAAAATGAACAATGGAGATCGTAGGAGAAGCCGCAATGGCGCGGAGGTTATATAAGGGGCCGCAGTCAAAGATATCGCGATCCCTTTGTTTCTTCCACGAGAGCTGCGACCGAGCCTCTCTTTTTCAGTCGAAGAGAAATATATATCCGACCGAGTGCCACCTCGATCAAATTTTCTCCGTGCTCGCGTCCTCCCCTCTTGTTCACCCTGTCTTCGACTACCTTTCGAGATAACCTTCCCGCGATCAACGTCATCCGATACGTCACGGACAGGATCGAGGCGATCGTGGCTTCGAGATAAAACTGAAACTATCCCTTCGATGGATTCGTTTCGAACCACGTTTAATTACGACTTTTAAACGTAAGTATATTCGAACAATTCGTCGCAGGGGAAGAAAAGAATATAATATAGAAAGATTAAAATTTTAATTTCGGAAAGAGAGGACGAGTGTCTTGAGAGGCAATTAAGCGAGAAAATAAATTAAGCTAACAAGCCGAGATTTCGCCGTTCCGTTAATAAACGATTCGAATTAATAATTTATAAGTGTTTCGAAGATAAAATTGTGATTAAAAATACGTTCGAATGAAAATATCACGATTTCTCGCGACGAATATCAATTCGCCGCGATCGACGAAAATCACACGATTCGTTGAATCCAATCGAGAATGGAAAATATATAATATATTCGTGAAACAATTGAGGGTGTCGATAGGGGAGGGGAGGGGGGGATCGATATATATCGAAATCGAGAAGAATAACCGGCGAAGAAAGATCTGGGAATAATTTGGGAGTAATGAGTCGAGCAATTAGAAGAGTTTGGCCAGAATCTTAATTACATTTATCCATCCCGGTGTATAAGCCGGTCATACGGGGAAGGCAAGGTGGATAATGAAAGGCCGCAGCCGCAGCCGCTACGAAAACCAGGAAGCTTCGGCACTTAATGAGATTAAATTCGCTCTTCTGCTTGGGGAAAAAAGGAAACTACGAAAAGGGAAAACTGGCGGCTGGGCCACGAATGGGTGTTGGAGAAGAGGCTGTGTGTGTGTGAGAGAGAGAGAGAGAGAGNGAAGAAAGAGGAGAAGAAGGGGAGAAGGAGAAGAAAAAAGAAAGAAGGAGAAAGGAGGTCTGGAAAAGGCTCCTCTTTCTCTCCATTAAACACGCAAAGATCCGCGCGTTTCCCTCTTCTCGAAGTCGACGTCAGTTTCAGAGTCCGGTGAAAAGCAACGCGTTATGCATCCGGAGGCCTTTGATGCTTTTTTTCGGCGAGCCGTAAAAAAAAAAAAAAAAAAAA